AGAAGAACAAACAAAACCCAAAGTTAGCAGAAGGAAAGAAATCATAAAGATCAGAGCAGAAATAAATGAAATAGAAACAAAGAAAACAATAGCAAAGATCAATAAAACTAAAAGCTGGTTCTTTGAGAAGATAAACAAAATTGATAAACCATTAGCCAGACTCATCAAGAAAAGAGGGAGAGGACTCAAATCAATAAAATTAGAAATGAAAAAGGAGAAGTTACAGCAGACGCACCAGAAATACAAAGTATCCTAAGAGACTACTACAAGCAACTCTATGCCAATAAAATGGACAACATGGAAGAAATGGACAAATTCTTAGAAAGGTATAACCTGCCAAGACTGAAACAGGAAGTAATAGAAAATATGAACAGACCAATCACAAGTAATGAAATTGAAACTGTGATTAACAGTCTTCCAACAAACAAAAGTCCAGGACCAGGTGGCTTCACAGGTGAATTCTATCAAACATTTAGAGAAGAGCTAACACCCATCCTTCTCAAACTCTTCCAAAAAATTGCAGAGGAAGGAACACTCCCAAACTCATTCTGTGAGGCCACCATCACCCTGATACCAAAACCAGACAAAGATATTACTAAAAAAGAAAATTACAGACCAATATCACTGATGAATAGAGATGCAAAAATCCTCAACAAAATACTAGCAAACAGAATCCAACAACACATTAAAAGGATCATACACCATGGTCAAGTGGGATTTATCCCAGGGATGCAAGGATTCTTCAATATACGTAAATCATTCAATGTGATAACCCCTATTAACAAACTGAAGAATAAAAACCATATGATCATCTCAATAGATGCAGAAAAAGCTTTTGACAAAATTCAACACCCATTTATGATAAAAACTCTCCAGAAAGTAGGCATAGAGGGAACCTACCTTAACAGAATAAAGGCTGTATACGACAAACCCACAGCAAACATCATTCTCAATGGTGAAAAACTGAAAGCATTTCCTCTAAGATCAGGAACAAGACAAGGACGTCCACTCTCACCACTATTATTCAATATAGTCTTGGAAGTCCTACCCACAGCAATCAGAGAAGAAAAAGAAATAAAAGGAATACATATTGGAAAAGAAAAAGTAAAACTGTCACTGTTTGCAGATGACATGATACTATACATAGAGAATCGCAAAGATGCCACCAGAAAACTACTAGAGCTAATCAATGAATTTGGTAAAGTTGCAGGATACAAAGTTAATGTACAGAAATCTCTTGCATTCCTATACACTAATGATGAAAAATCTGAAAGAGAAATTAAGGAAACACTCCCCTTTACCATTGCAACAAAAAGAATAAAATACCTAGGAATAAACCTACCTAGGGAGACAAAAGACCTATATGCAGAAAACTATAAGACACTGATGATAGAAATTAAAGATGATGCCAACAGATGGAGAGATATACCATGTTCTTGGATTGGAAGAATCAACATTGTGAAAATGACTATACTACCCAAAGCAACCTACAGATTCAATGCAATCCCTATCAAATTACCAATGGCATTATTTACGGAACTAGAACAAAAAATCTTAAAATTTGTATGGAGACACAAAAGACCCCGAATAGCCAAAGCAGTCTTGAGGGAAAAAAATGGAGCTGGAGGAATCAGACTCCCTGACTTCAGACTATACTGCAAAGCTACAGTAATCAAGACATATGGTACTCGCACAAAAACAGAAACATAGATCAATGGAACAAGATAGAAAGCCCAGAGATAAACCCACGCACCTATGGTCAACTAATCTACGGCAAAGGAGGCAAAGATATGCAATGGAAAAAAGACAGTCTCTTCAATAAATGGTGCTGGGAAAACTGGACAGCTACATGTAAAAGAATGAAATTAGAACACTCCCTAACACCATACACAAAAATAAACTCAAAATGGATTAGAGATCTAAACGGAAGACTGGTCACTATAAAACTCTTAGAGGAAAACATAGGAAGAACACTCTTTGACATAAATCACAGCAAGATCTGTTTTGATCCACCTCCTAATGGAAATAAAAACAAAAATAAACAAATGGGACCTAATGAAACTTCAAAGCTTTTGCACAGCAAAGGAAACCACAAACAAGACGAAGACAACCCTCAGAATGAGAAAATACTTGCAAATGAATCAACGGACAAAGGATTAATCTCCAAAATATATAAACAGCTCATGCAGCTCAATATTAAAAAAACCCAATCCAAAAATGGACAGAAGACGACCTAAACAGACATTTCTCCAAAGAAGACATACAGATGGCCAAGAAGCAAATGAAAGGCTGCTCAACATCACTAATCATTAGAGAAATGCACATCAATACTACAATGAGCTATCACCTCACACCAGTTAGAATGGGCATCATCAGAAAATCTACAAACAACGAATGCTGGAGAGGGTGTGGAGAAAAGGGAACCCTCCTGTAGTGTTCGTGGGAATGTAAATTGATACAGCCACTATGGAGAACAGTATGGAGGTTCCTTAAAAAACTAAAAATAGAATTACCATATGATCCAGCAATCCCACTACTGTGCATATACCCAGAGAAAACCATAATTCAAAAAGACACATGGGGCTTCCCTGGTGGCGCAGTGGTTGAGAGTCCACTTGCCGATGCAGGGGACACGGGTTCATGCCCCAGTCCGGGAAGATCCCACATGCCGCGGAGCGGTTGGGTCCATGAGCCATGGCCGTTGAGCCTGCGCGTCCGGAGCCTGTGCTCTGCAACGGGAGAGGCCACAACAGGGAGAGGCCCGTGTACCGCAAAAAGAAAAAAAAAAAAAGACACACGATGCACCCTAATGTTCACTGCAGCACTATGTACAATAGCCAGGTCATGGAAGCAACCTAAATGCCCATCGACAGACGAATGGATAAAAATGTGGTACATATATATAATGGAATATTACTCAACCATAAATGGGAACGAAATTGGGTCATTTGTAGAGACATGGATGGATCTAGAGACTGTCATACAGAATGAAGTAGTCAGAAAGAGAAAAACAAATATCGTACATTAACGCATATACATGGAAACTAGAAAAATGGTACAGATGAACCGGTTTGCAGGGCAGAAATTGAGACACAGATGTAGAGAACAAATGTATGGACACCAAGGGGGAAAGCGGTGGTGGGAGAGGTGGTGTGATGAGTTGGGCGATTGGAATTGACATGTATACACTGATGTGTATAAAACTGATGATTAATAAGGACGTGCTGTATAAAAAATAAAATTCAAAAATTAAAATAAAGAAATAAAATAAAATAGAAAAAAAAAAATCATCCCGCACTCAACTCCTTGCTTTACTCCTCAAAGGGCCTAAAATGTAAGGAATCCTGTATGTCACTCTTCACTAATTACACAGTTTTACTGTATCTCAGTCTAGAATAATCCAGGCCAACTGAACACAGGAAAGAGCACAGGACTCAATCCAAAGTCTCATCTTTCTATTTGTTAACTGTGTGACCTCGGGCAATTCTGTGGGTTTAGCTGAGCCTCAGTTTCCCCATCTACCTACCTCACCTGCATCCCCGAGGATTAAAAGCAGTAACATACATAATATACCTGACTACTGGGTCAAACACAGAAACCACTCAGGTAAAAGCCCCTTTCCTTTAGGAAAAATAATGACTGCAGAAGTATTCAACCCTGTCTTAAATTTCTGCTAAGCAACTGATGGGTACATAGAGAAGGCATGCCACAGGATGGACTGTAACACTGCCAGGAGAATAGTCTAGGCTGTTACATGGAACTTTTTCCATGCTTACGGTGCAGGACTATAGGGCTTCAACTGAGAACTCGTTCAAGCATTTGAACAGATGTGTACCATTGCTTAAGAGGAGTCCAGCCCTGCCCGCAGGCATCCACCTCCCTGTTCCTTCCTTGCAACAAGAACACCAGGGAGACCCTTCCGCTTTCAAAAGAGAACGTAATCTTTTGTCATCCTCACATCTCATGCTTTGCACATGGATCCTCTTTCAACTAAGAATCAAGAATTACCACCCTTTAGGTATTAGCTAGCATCTAACACTGGTCATTTTCCACACAGCTCCTTCAAGAAAATGGAAAGCCCAAGTGATAAGTGAACTGTGTGTTTCTAACTGTTCTTCTAGCTGCATCCCTGCACCATCGAATCAGACCATCAGAAACTACCTAATGGACCACTTCTATTGCAGCTCCCCACCTCCCTGTAGATTTATCTTTATGAAGTTCACCTTAACATCATGCTCTCTGCTTTTCATGTGGGTTGACACACAAGTTTGCGTCAAGCTTTTTTTTGCGGGTAAAATGCCTACCAATGTCAAGTAAATCCGCCATCTTATCTTTCAGTAGCCTTTATTTAATGAGCTCATGTGAAGCTTAAGGAGAAAAACATGTCTCTAAATTAAGCTATGTCTTCTGTTAGAACAAAAGTGATATAACCATCTAATTTTTGTCTTTGTCTTGGAATCCAAGCGTCTTCTTGGTAGGTTTGGGTTCAGATGCAGATTTCATCAACATCTGATCCCACTGTTCTTGCTTTCCCATACACCTGTTTCCTGGCTTTGAGTTGTTTTATCTCTCTCTTAAGTGTACCCACATATACTTCTATAGCCTACTTTCCAGTTCTACTTTGTGAGGTGATTTAGTCTTGGGGTGCTTAAGAAACACAGATTACACTCTGGTGCTAAAATAGCTGAAGATAAGCTAAAACTGACACCTACCAAAAATATTTAGTTTTTATGAACAGGAGTGTCCCAAGTCTTTCATGGAAACGTGATGGTTTCCTATTGCAAATATTCTGCAACTGAATATTGGACAACGTAAGAATGTAAAGTGGAAACATCTATTTTCCTAAGGAGGAAAGGAAAGGGCAGGGGCAATCAAGTATTGAGTTTCAGGACAACATACAATTCTTCTAATCAATCAACCTGCCATTTCCTACATCATGTGACCGGTAAGCAACCACGTGAAGTTTGGAGATTACATTAACTTTCCTCACTGGGTCTTACCCGTAACCGATAGTCATCCACAGTCCAGATGCGGCTTGCAAAATCATTTGACGCTGCTAAGAGGTAAGATCCCTACAGGAATAAAGGGGGAGGAGAAGAAATGTTAGCCAAAATAGAAGAACTCAGTTCACATGATACAAATTCCCCGATAATCAAGCCCAAGAAGGTTTAGATGCCTATAACTATACACCTGGGCTGAATACCGCTATAACCAGCATTCTGTTAATTTATCACTCCCCCTTAAGTTCAGACCTTCCTCCCAAGCCTGCTCGACCTCACCTGTAAGCTGTAGATACCTCCAGCTCAAAATGGAATTCCTCCTCCTGTGTTCACTCCTCACCACCTCCCACCTTCAGTAACAGCAAGTACTAATTCTCTGCACCTGTCCAAGTCCAAGAGCTCAGAACCACTGACTCTCCCCAGCCACACCTCCCAACTGCCCCCGTTGGAGACCTGCTTGTCTCTGGTGCTTCTCGCTAGACCCTCTCCTCTCCACCTGCACTGCCTTGGCCCAAACCGGGGCCTTTATCAAGTCTGGCGACTGCCTTGCTGGGGCATCCCAGACCTGTCCCCCTACCCAGTCTTCAACACGGCCGTGATCAGCACAGAATTTATAATCTACCTACATCCTTCTCTAACATTAAGACAGAAAATAGCAGAGAAACCAGATAAGTTTTTAAATTTCAAGAACGAGATGTTTAAAACTGTTTCTAAAAACCTCTAAACTCACCCATTTCCGTGGATATTAGGTACTTACAGCACTATCGAATTCAATGCTTGTAATTCCTGCATTACTGCCAGACAGGGAGCCCTTGAACTCACATTTGTCTGCATACAAACAAAGGTTAAGAAAGGAAGGTTTAAAAACAAACGATGGCAAATCCAACATATCAATTAAAATGAGGCACTTGAAACACAATGGAAGCCAGCTACATGGTCAAAAACAGCTTTCCTGCATCTTTACAGAATCAAGTAGCAGGACAAATGGAATAATGAGACCAAAATATCCGGCTGGTCAGTTCCAAGAGCAATGAATGTACAAGCGGGTGCAGAGCCCAGCATTTTCCTGTGGGTTCTTACGCTGTTCTTTTCAAGAAATTCAGTGTCATCAATTTCCTTTAAAAAAGGTAAGTGCAGGAATTTAAAAACATGTCAATTGACCCTAGAGACCGAGTTTGTTATTTCTCAGTAAAATTTTCTACTTTCCATAAATACATCTTTGGGTTTGATCAACTTAACTATCACTTTCGTAGAACCTGACCATTAGAATTTCAGAACCCAAGTAGGAAAAGAAATTTCTACTTACATAAACTGGCTGGTCCTCAGAATTCTAGTAAAGCTGGTTTGGAGTTTCGGTCACCTCTCTGTTCACTCTATATACGTGAGCCTAAGGTTCTGGCAATCCAATCGCCCGCCAGTGCTCCCCCCTCCCGGCTGCCAAGTCTCCTCCACCAAGAGGCCCGTGCATATACCCCCGGGCTGTTTTCAAACAGCTTTGGCCACCCGCAATGAAACTTTAAAGATGAGCGTATGAGTCTCAATGATGATGTGATTCAGCTTCCTTTTTAAAGGGTATCTTTTTTTTTCCTCTAAGAGTTTTATTTATTTATATCTTTATTGGAGTATAATTGCTTTACAATGGTGTGTTAGTTTCTGCTTTATAACAAAGCAAATCAGTTATACATATGTTCCCGTATCTCTTCCCTCTTGTGTCTCCCTCCCTCCCACCCTCCCTATCCCACCCCTCTAGGTGGTTACAAAGCACCGAGCTGATCTCCCTGTGCTATGTAGCTGCTTCCCACTAGCTATTTTACGTTTGGTAGTGTATATATGTCCATGCCACTCTCTCACTTTGTCACAGCTTACCCTTCCCCCTCCCCATATCCTCAAGTCCATTCTCTAGTAGGTCTGTGTCTTTATTCCTGTCTTACCCCTAGGTTCTTCATGACCTTTTTTTTCCCTTAAATTCCATATATGTGTTAGCATACGGTATTTGTCTTTCTCTTTCTGACTTACTTCACTCTGTATGACAGACTCTCTAGGTCCATCCACCTCACTACAAATAGCTCAATTTTGTTTCTTTTTATGGCTGAGTAATATTCCATTGTATATATGTGCCACATCTTCTTTATTCACTCATCCGATGATGGACACTTAGGTTGTTTCCATCTCCTGGCTATTGTAAATAGAGCTGCAGTGAACGTTTTGGTACATGACTCTTTTAAAGGGTATCTTAAGGATAACCTATATAGACAAGCCAGGAAAACAATTAGGGAATCATTCAAATCAAACTCATACAATAGGAGCACAGAATAGTATACATTTCAATTAACAGCCTTTTCTCTTAGGACTTCTAGATGCTAATAAATATAAATACTGGTTTGGGGACTTCCCTGGTGGTCCAGTGGTTAACACTCCACTCTCCCAATGCAGGGGCCTGGGTTCGATCCCTGGTCAGGGAACTAGATCCCTCATGCCATAGCTAAGAGTTCACATGCCACAGCGAAGATTCCACGTACCACAACCAAGACCCAGCACAGCCAAACAAATAAATAAACTTATATATATATAAAAAATACTGGTTTGGAGCTGTCAAATACATTTAGGGCCAGGACTATTAACCTGGTGGATGAACCCCTGAATTAATTTGCAAAATATGGCACATTTAATGCCTTTCCCTGGATCCTAGCTTTCATTAGATTTTCACAAGTCAAAAAAAGGCCAACACCTACTAATTTAGGACTTTATTTAGATTAGATCTTTATAGACAAAAATATTACTGCAAATTCTAAAAGATATCTCTTTGGCTTATGCCTAAAACACTGGTCTATTTGTTTGGCAGGTGACAAAGTGCCAAAATGTAAGAAATGATCAGTAAGTGCTAGTCTACACAAGAGATTGATCTGAAAAGACCAAAGATCTTATTAAAATCTCTTTTATTTAGAAGGCACTGGGGAGACTATGTCAAGAGCATTTATTAATTCCCAGCAGAGCTGCTGCTTTTGACAGAATAAGCAAAGACAGGTGCTCCTACTGGATGCAAAGTGGTGGTGGAAGGGTAAAAAAGAGGACCCCCGAACTATTTCATAAAAGGCCTCTTGGACTTGGTCTCTTCCAAGACTCAGTAAATATTAGCCAAGGGGGAAAAATTATAGGCCAAGTAAGCCATTTGTGAAGGAAAGATCCTATAATTAGTTATAGGATATATATATAGGACTGATATTTGTTCCTGAAAACTATAAAAAATGCTGCCAGACACTATGTTATTTCTGTAGACCTAGTAGAAATTTTTCATTTTATTAACACAAATTATGTCAGTATTAATGTTGGTTAGTGTTTACTTCCTCTTTAGCAGCAAAAAAGTAACACTATTACTAATCCCTGGTATCTTTAATTTTCTTATAGGTGTTTTTACTGACCAAGGAGTAAAACGAAAATATTTTTAGTCCTATCTGTATTTAATTGCAAGGCATAATCAAAACAGACTATCTGTGTAGATTTTTATCACAAAATCTCTGTTCTTTTTTTTTAAAATTACTTAATTTATTTTTGGCTGCACTGGGTCTTCGTTGCTGCATGTGGGCCTTCTCTAGCTGTGGCGAGCAGGCGCTACTCTTCGTTGTGGTGCGCAGGCTTCTCATTGCGGTAGCTTCTCTTGATGCGGAGCACGGGCTCTAGGCGCGCAGTCTCAGTAGTTGTGGTGCACGGGCTTAGTTGCTCCGCAGCGTGTGGGATCTTCCTGGACCAGGGCTCAAACCCGTGTCGCCGGCATTGGCAGGCGGACTCTTAACCACTGTGCTACCAGGGAAGCCCAAAATTTCTATTCTTATGATATGGTTTTATTATTGTTTTGTAAGTTTCAGCAATTACCATTCATAAGGTGTTTCTGGGTAAAACACAAATTTTGATGGGTTTCAAATAGCTCTAACTGCCAGGGATTTAAGTACTGAGTCATTTTCATGAAAATCAAAGGCCAGGGTAGACAAACTGGGTGCTTTATATGACAACGTGTTCCAGCAAAGGGATCAGTAGATTGCTCTTGCTCTAAATACATCAGCAGTAGTAACAAAGGGACTTTCCTGGGAAGCCCGTGCTCCGCAACAAGAGAAGTCACTGCAATGAGAAGCCCGCACACGGCAACAAAGAGTAGCCCCCGCTCTCCACAACTAGAGAAAGGCCGTGCACAGCAGCGAAGACCCAACGCAGCCAAAAATCAATCAATCAATCAATTTATATATATAAAAAAGTAGTAGTAACACACATGCTTCTTCAGCAGGTCTATAGCTCAGAGGAGGCTGTTTTGGAAAAAGCAAGGCATCTACAGTCTTAACACTCAAGCTCAGGTCCCAGGTTTCACGACTCCCTGTCCACGTAAATCAACCGTGTAAATCAAGTAGTGTCTCTGAGTTTTCACCTGTCAAACAGAGGTGATACCCACCTAAGGGCACAGGGCTATTGTGAGGATCAGAGGAAATAAAGTAGAGAAAGGTATGATGGTGCTATTTATTGTTGGAGGTGAGCATGTATGTGCTGCAAGTATGGAAACCGGACAAAGTGGTTCCTATAAAACCCTTCAGTCTATTCTTTGACCTTGCCTTACTATTATTATTTTTTGGCTGTGCTGTGTGGCTTGTGGGATCTTGATTCCCTGACTAGGGAATGAACTCAGGCCCTTGGCAGTGAAAGCCCAGAGTCCTAACCCCTGGACTTCCAGGGGAATTACCTGACCTTGCCTTACTAAATATACATGTATATTTAACTGAATATCAAAATGTTGAAAGTGGGCTATGCCCATGTTCAGAATTCTGGGAGAGGATTTCACTAACTCTCATTTCCTGTTTTAATGCCATCCCATTTTGAGTACTCTGAGATCATTCCTGAAACAATGTCTAATCAAAGAGACTTCAGTCTTGATTTTAGAATCCTTGTCCAATAAGCTATTTGTTAAATACATTTTCCTAGATGATACACCCCTCTGTTTATTCTCAAGCTTAGATACGATGTCAGTCATTTTTTGCTAGGCTATGGCCACTGGTATTATTAAATGCATAAACCATAGCTTGATATGTAATTTAATTGTAGAGTCCATGACTGTAAGATTTTTTATTTTCCTTCTAAAACCTGTACTATCTTGGAAGATCCCCTGGTCAGTACGTATTTGAGAAAACACAAACGCTAACGTATCTGTAACTCAACAGCATTCTCCAGTCTACTTGGAAACCCAGAGCAAACATCTACTTGGCTGTATCAGCTGTAAAGGATAACTGAGAGGGTGATAATGCTTTGGTCAGATGATTCCTCACACAAAATACTGTACGTTTCAAGAAGATGAACAATTCAAAGGCTGCCTGAAAGCAGGGCCAACCAGATGTCACCAACACAGCTTCCTTCTGTTTCTCACTCCAGCGAGATCTCACCTCCGAACACTTCCCAGAGCTTCACCCTCCGATCCATGCCTCCCGTGGCCAGGAGCCGGGAACCCGGACTGAACTGCACAGCATTAACCTCCCCATCATGAGCGTCCTGCAAGACAAGTGCCCTGTTTCAAACCCAACCCCTGTCATCCCCAAGAAGAAAGGGCCCAATACTGATGAACACTCTGGACCCCTAACCAAAGGTTAAACACCTGTCATTAAAGAGGGGACCCAATCACAAACTTGGGTTCCTAGCCCAGGGTCTCCTGATTCTATTATCATTAAATACTTATAGTTACAGTTCTATTTTTTTAAATGCAGTGCAACCTTCTTAAAAAGCATTCAGAATCTGTGTAAACTAATTGCCTAAAGTTTGTCTTTGCATTAATTTTCCTTCTTCTAAGAATAACGTAATTTCAATCTACACTGTACTATGATCTTAAGAGCTTAAAAGTAAGCCTATGGTTAACTGCCTCTTCTGGCCCAGACTGCATTAATACCACATGTTAAACTACGTATCAAATTAAGGTATAGCATGGCTTCTCATGACTTTAAAAAAAGAAGCCTTTTCTTTTTTTAAAAAGTCTTTCTTTTGGTCTCCCTAATACGAATACATCCTGATATGAGTAGATGCTGGTCCTACTGCCACCCATCAGTGTTAGAGTAGAATCCCAGGTAGTTCTTTCTGGAAACAACACGGCACTACATGTACTAGCAGTGAGGCCTCCGCCAAGTTCCTTCACTTCCCAAAGCCTCAGTTTTCTCGTCTATGAAAATAGACTTCTGCAGGTTTTGTGAGCTAGGAACATGTCCGACCATGACTCGGCCTTTGACAAAAGTAGCAGGTGTTGTTTTGGCAGAACCTACATTCTTCACAGGGAGATGTCTGAGAATGGCATCCACGTTGGAACACATGATCTGAAAAGGTGGTGGCACTTGTGTTCAAGATGAGAAAGGAAACCAAATAAAAAGCACCCCATCCCAGAATGGGAAGAGAGAACACTAGACATGACTATAATCTCCTCTCTTAAAAGACCATGGATACTGAAATATTTATGAATGAAATACCATGAGATTTGCTTTAAGTTGCTCCAGCAAGTGTGGGCGTGGGGTGGGGGGCAGATAAGATTGGCAAACGTGACTGACTGAAGCCGCCCGACAGGAGGATGTCCGGGAAGTTCTTTTACTCTCTACTTCTGCTTATATTTGAAAATTTCCATAATCAAAAGCCAGGGGCGGGGGACCCTGCAATACATGAATGATAAATACTAGATCCTTAAACCTGTCATCAATCACTTGCCTAAAAGGTCATTTTGGGAATACAAAATCTGATCTTCACATTTGCTTAGGACTGAAAAAGGTGCCTGAAGTATCGAGAACGTGACTCATGAACCGACTGGAACAGAAACATGATTTCTTATTACTTTGCTTGATCTGCTTTCTCTCCACCCTCTCGTGTCCCAGGGCTGAAAAGCTGTCTGACAGGGGATCTAACTTTTTACCTCCATACAATTCCGTTTTCTTTGTAATGATACCTTTCTACTTCGGAGGTCTCAGATTGAAAACTTGAGATCACGCACCATCACAACCATGGCTGCCTCTCATCAGTCTCCTGTGCGGCCGGTTCTGTTGGACGCTTGTCAGCTGTGCACTGCTCACTCTCAGAGACACACACTGACAGAATCCCCAATTATCAGCTGCTCCATTACCCCATACACACGACTTAAATGTGACAGGAGGGAAAAAATGGGCTGCTGGGAGTTGAGGGCAGGGAAGGCAATGTGACGTTAAGTGCAATCAGACCTTTTACCAATCATCATCGACCTCCGAGGTACCCAGGCCTGTTAGAGAATCACAGGAGTGGAGTGGGAAGGGGCCTTAATGGTCCCCCGTCCAACTCCTCACCCACAGCAGGATTCTCTTTACAATGACCAAGGTGGCTAATCGCTCAGCCAGTTCATTGTATGGAAATAACTATTAAAGTTCCTCTTTATGCCCGGAACTGAAAGCTCCCCCCATATAAACTCCATCCCATTGTTTTTTTCTTTTTTGCGGTACGCGGGCCTCTCACTGTTGTGGCCTCGCCTGTTGCAGAGCACAGGCTCTGGACGCGCAGGCTCAGAGGCCATGGCGCACAGGCCCAGCCGCTCCGCGGCACGTGGGATCTTCCCGGACCAGGGCACAGACCCACATCCCCTGCATCGGCAGGCGGACTCTCAACCACTGCGCCACCAGGGAAGCCCCATCCCATTTTTACAGCAAGGCTTTCTCTCCCCGAACGTCAGCTCCTCCAACTCACCCCTCGCAACACATGAGTTAACCCAACTATTTGGGCTTTGCTCTATTCTTCCATCCCCCACCCCATTTCCTAGCCCTGAGCCAGGGACTCTACAATTCCCCAGGCTGGTTGCATGTCCGCTCAATTACCCCAGCCAGGATCCGGATTATCCTTTAGTACTAGGACCCAGCTCCACACTCCAGCTGACAGCCATGGTATCACAGTGGCTTCTGCCCAGGAGTTTCTCCGGCTTCCAACTATGTGCTCCTAATGGTCAGAAGTCACATGGACCTGAGTATAATTTGTGAAGCCAACAGCTGCCCTACTGACCTTCCAAAACAGACCACTGACTAGAAACTCTAAATTGGAGCCAACTGGTGACAACAATTGCATGAATTATTCTCTAATTCCTCACCATCCCAAATTAGCTCTCCCCTTGCCCCACCCCCTCATGCTACCCATCATCTCAGCCAGTCCTACATTACAGAGGGTGGCTGCAAATAAATTCTGTTCTCTGAAGAGCGGCAAAATACACTAATTTTACTCACCTTATCAAAGCAACTTTGCTTTGCTTTGCTTATCAAACTATAATCAATCCTTTCTATCAGACAGGTTGTCTGATAGAAAGTTCCATATGAATAAAACAATAATAGAAAGCTTAGCTGCAGCAGGAGAAAGGGTCCTTTGTCAGGCTCTGTTTCTTTATGAAGCTTGGTGGGCTGTGGGGATAAATCATACTTACGAAGACACACATTGCAGTCGTTGGCACCCTCACTTCTTTACTAGAGCCAGGATGAGTATCCACGTTATCCTGGGGAACTGGAAAGGAAGACACAGAGCGCCTCCTAAGAAGTAACATAAAGGAAAACATCAGGATGGCACAGGCTTACTGTCCACCAAACTCTCAGAAGGGATTCAAAGACATCTTTTATCAATAGCTTCTTTTCCCTTCTAGACCCTCCAAACCACAGAACGATTCCCCAAATCAGAAGCAACCTCACTCAGTGACAACTGGAAAGACAGTCAGCACTTACCTGTACTCTCCTTTTCGCTAACCCATGGACTCCAAAACTCAACACTGAAAAGCAATCCTGAACAACTGCTGCCCCCGTCAATAAACAGCTACAAATGTTCTCAACTTAATGTAACCGCTAGCTCAGAGGGAGCTCGTTGGTATTTTCATAAAACTATTTTAAGATGATTCCTATGCCTGGTTACAATCATCCTCAGCATACACTTGTGGTCAAGGTGGAGCTGAACACATGCCAAAAGAAAGAGCGACCCGGCCTTGATTACTGTACAGAGCTCAGCCTATTCGCCCGTCTCACAGGGCTGACAGCATTCCTAGGAGCATGCAAAGCGTCCTGGTTATTAGCACATGTACACGTGATGATTGGTGTAGTGAAGCAGTGATCAGCATAATTATCAACGACCCACACTTGCATGCTGGGCTAAGAGAGGATAATATTTTCACCTGGCAGCATCAGAAGAGTGATGTCCCAAAAGGGGAGACTCGGACAGACTAAAGGGTAAGGCCAGAGATCAGCACGCAGCGAGATTAAGAAAAAGGAAGTTGAGGAAAAAAGGAAGAAGCTAAATGAAAAGCTGAAATTAAGGCATCTGTATACTCTGCACTGAAATTCTGGCGCACGTTTAAAAAACAACAAATCATGTACATGTACTCAGGTATATTTATACACACATTAACAAGGAAAGGTGAAGGTTTTCTAACCTACCCAAAGATATTAGTGATAGAATCCAGAAGGCCTCCAGCAGGCTGCGAGAGTCGCTTACTAAAGAGGAGGGGAGGATAGGTTTAAACCTTAGAAACATTTTCCCAAATAATCAATCAAAAACAGTCCACAAAAGTACCTGGGAGTGTATTTCCCAATGAGTTCCCAAACCCCAGCTGAGAACCCCTCACAGTACTGAACCACCAGAAAGCATTGGGAAGGTAGGAGGGAAAACCCAGCCTTGAAGTTTCAAAAGAAATACGGTTCCCTAACACTAAATTAACTTCCCTGGAAATAATGCTTTAGACGATGAACTGTCTAAGTGACCTAACAACAACTTCTAGTGGTTAATGACCAAGCCCATTCTTTTCATCCTGTTTTGGCAAATTAAAAAAAAGAAAAGAAAAGAACTCCTGGAGCCCTAGTACGAATTAAGCAGTATGATCTAAACAATCACCCTGCCTAACAAGGTCCATCTTTCCGAAAGCCACTACACTTTTTCTGCTTCTCTTCACAGCTGGTGGCGGCACTAAGGGACGGCTAGCCTCCTGTTAAGCAGAGGTGACCCGAGAAAGATGGAGACACCCTGGAGCCCGCGAGCCCCATGGCTGAGCGAGCGGGGCTGCACGTTCCAGCTGGGGGCGCCGCACCGTTCCCTGGCCCCGCCCACAAGCATGCTGCCGGGCTGCTCCGCCCCTGGCACAGCCCGTGTACTCACGCGGCTGCTCTGCTGACGGCCCGCACCGGAGAGGCCTCCTCAGCGTGATCGGAGGTTTCATCCACAAGGACTTCAATGTCATCATCCCTGGAAAGAAGGGCAAGAGGCTGAGTCTTTAATGCTGCTAAACAGGAGCTTTGTGATGAGTCTGCCCTGCAAAGGCCGACACCAACACCACCTCCTAATCACACACGGGCTATGTGACTTGGCTGTGACAGAAGCAGTCAAGGCTTCTCTGGAGAAAAAGGAGCTGCCATCTGAGCAACAGCGAAGAAACGATCTGTTCAAGTCAAATCCAGAATTCCAACTGAAAACAACTTTACAAGTGAGCTTTTGCTCTTTTTAGGTCTAAACACAGCTCCCACTTGGAAAGCAATGACATAATGGCTTATTAAGCCTATATTCACATAACCAGCAGTAAGGTAGATTTTTCTCATCAGAAGTCTGGTTTGTAGCTCAAGGGCTCCCGCATGCCAACTGGACTGCAGCACTCACTAAGAAACAGTTCCCATGAGACGGGCTGAATAACATAGAGGATAGCTAGGGGCAGCTATGGTGTACAAGAAACTGCCAGGATAGGGAGAAGATCCAAGTCAATAAGGAAATGGACTGCTAAAAGGGCAATGAAGTCAACGGGTACCTAAACAACCCAGTTCTAAATATTACTGTAATAGTAAAAGACAGGAAAGCAAGATCTAAACACAATTCATTTTTGACTGGGTATTTGAGGCTTATATGTTTAAGCATAGCTCTGGGTATTTGCTGTTTCTGACATTTTAGAGAGTCCATTATATTACACACGAGATAATCAAGTCACAGGACCATGCTCCTTTGCTGGTGTTTATCCCACCGGATGCAAAGCTCCTCTGGAATTCCCCTTCCTCCCCGTTTTCCTGGTTGCAGGGAAGGCAAGTAATTATTTTGGTCTTAATGACGTCCTACCAAGTTGCAATCTTCATGGAGAAGCAAAATAATAAAATCTAGTAACCCAAGACTTTATTACCAAATGTTTGGATTCATAAGAACTTGAGAGATTTTTCCATGATTAATTATCTGGATTATGTAAATATATACTTCAGAACTTGTTACCAAGCAAGTTAAACCAAGTTCAAGTAAATTTATTTTCCTTGGCTATTGATTCTAGGGTCCCGTGTAACTGAACCCAGTCTTGGCCAGGATTAGAGAACAAAGGCAGGCCTGAAGACAGAGAACAGGCTGGGCTTTCTTCTCTTCTCAGTCGTGGTCTGCGGGTCACTTGTGTCCGCACAAGGGTAACAACAGAACAGCAGACATGGCAAGGGTAACAAACCTGAGCTGAGCCTATGTAAATGGTTTGTTTAAGATAGAGTTGTATAGTTATAAAGGTACTTGGAACAGCGCAAAGGCCCAGGACCACGAGAAAATACCAGCATCTGGTAACGCGTTATCAAAACCTTTCAAAGGTGTTAATGTCCTTTCACCTAGAAACTCTACTTGTAGGAAAGAACAGAGATTAAGAACAGGACTTCACAGTCAGACACCCTTAAGTTTCCACCCTGTCTCTGCCTTTTCCTTTGTGATATGGGGCAGGATGCTGGACCTTTCTACACCTAGTCACCTGTTTATGCTGGCCAATAAGAGGCAGACAAATGATGCTTTTATAAGCCGTTATTTTTAAGGAACCAAATCTCATTTCCAGGTCGACTATTTAGCTACTTTGTAGCTTTGGGCAAACACACCTGAGATTCATTTTCGACATGTGAAGAGTATAGAAATTATGCACATATGCTACACCTAAAGCCAAGGCTTGGTATGAGATTTGTTTTCTTATAAATCAGGACCTTTGTCTGGCAGAGGACTCCTGAGTGAATGTAAATCACTCCCCTCCATTTACAAGGAAGCAAGCAACATTTAAAAAAACAGAAGATCAGAACTCTAATACTATATTCCAGAGTCCATTTTAAAGAGGAGAAGACCCCACATCCTGAACCAGAGCAAAGGGAATTTAGTCACTAAAATACCCACTGCTCTGAAAACAAAGCTTCAAATCTCAGGGAAGACCCTCCACCCAATTTCAGATTAGGAAAAACTCCATATTGACTCAATTGCTTTTGTTCCAGGAAATCCCAGTTTCTACTTAGGCTTCAAAGGTTTGCCCAAGCTCCACTTGAAGCCACAAACCAAGAAGAGAGCAAGAGACAGAACCCCAGCCCAGCATCACACTGCAACAGCTCCAACCAGAGGCAGAAAACAGGTCGGTCTCAACAGGAAAACAGCGAGGCTGTCACTGGTTAAGGGTGGAGGAAGTCAGAATTCACACTCACAGCTAATGAGTATAAACTGGAACAACTTTCTGGAAGGTAATGGGTGTTTTTTATTTGCTGCCCTAAGTCTCTTCGTTTTCCTTCTACATTTTGTAAAATGGTTTTATAGAAACAGAATATTGTAAGACTATTTCAAAACAGCAAATCAAATTACTACGAGCATAGTTTCGATTTGTACATCTCTACTCACTGCTCAGCTGGGAGAGGTTCCTTTGCTGCTTCTGCGAGCTCCTTCTGCAGCCGGGCTTGCCGCCTCCTATTTAAAAAAAAAAAAAAAAAAAGCCCACTATTTATGTCTACTTAAAGAAAGCATGGGGTTTTGTCTCTCAAAAAACTACTTAGTAACACATTTGAATATTCGATGCACTTAAAGTAACAACTACCCTGGACAAAGATACCCGAAGTCCCAAATCCACAACTGTAACTTCAGCAAGGATCCTATTATAATGGATTTCAGAGCAAAGCCCTAGGAGGAATTAGAGAGAGCAGTGAACCAGCAAGGGAGAAGCCTGCCTGTGGGGACCCAGGGCCTCTCAGGACAGAAACATGCATCAGGTTCATCCAGGGTTAGTCATGGTCGAGACTTAGTTTTCTGAAGTAAACAGTCTCACACTAACATATCAAGAGCATGAATAATAATAAAAATTTACTTGTACCTAGCACGGTTTTTTTATTTTACAGAATTTGACTCATTTAACACTTATAACAAACTTTTTGAGGTTAAGTACTATGATTCCCATTTTATAGACGAGGAAACTGAGGTATAGTGAGATTCTTGAGTCATCAAAATGTACAAGGCTTCAGTTTACTAGGGCTGGACACACAAGTCCGGGCTGCAGCAGAATTTTAATGTCGTCAGCAGCCGCTTCCACTCTCTCCCCTCTCAGAATCATTTTTGTCTTTCCTTCCCAAGTCCTCAATTCAGGAGCTTCCTAACCTTTAAACCTTGGCCTCCCTCTCTTTTCCATGGCAAGTTCACCTCTATCTGTCATTTCTGCCCTCGCTGTGGAGGACCCCCAACCCAGAACTCTAGCACTGCTACTGAGCTCAGGTCAAGAGTTCTGCTGGAATTTTTAAAAATTTTTCTAAATTAAAAAACAACTTTTCTAAGTTTTTAAAAAAGTTTCCACTATAGTGATAATTCTCAAAATAGGGCAAAGTCCTGTAGGTGGCACATCAGAATCTGCGATGGGATGAGGCTCTAGCTTGAAAAAGTGCCTTACACTCTTAATCTTATATCTTGAAGATGAAGAGTCAGTTTTACAGGACAAGTGACAAAAATTACAGGTTAACAAATTTTTCTTAGCTGGAATAGATGACCTATAAACTGTTTTTGAGGGGAAAGCAGAATCCCGGTGCGGGGTGTGTAACCCTCCTCTAAAGGAAAGGCACCTGTCTGCAAGGAGTGGGTAAAGGACAGAGCTGGAGTCACCGGGAGAAAAAAACACCCGCAGCCCAGGCTTCGTTACAACAGCGGAAATGTCCTTCTTTAATCCTGACAGCTTCTTAGACAGCAGCCACCGTGCCTGCCTGTGGGGACACACCCCAGCCTTGCAAGGGAGGCGGAACACAAGCAGCTATTTCAAAAAACAGCGCTCCACTATGACCCAGGTAAACAAAAGCTGCTAGGAGAGGAAGGACATCTAATCTGGGAAATAGGTAGGAAGGGGGAAGGCTTCTAAGAAGGAGGAACTAGTTGAGTCAAGTAACGAGAAGAATCCCCAGGTCCCACACGTGCAATCAGATGGTTATACGTGCAATGGTATATTCCTAGGATAACATTCCAAAGGACAGAACAAGGGCAGGTATGTAACGTGCCTCACTCCCCATTTTCACTAGGAAGTTTGGGTTGTCCTTGCCCACGGTGATGATCAAGGGCTCTCCCTCTGCAGAACCACACGCCTGCCCACTTCTCCCTCAGGCAGGCTCTCAGCCCGAAGCCTAACAACTTCCACGGAGCCCCGGTGTCCTTACCACCCCTAAGCTGCCCAAGAGCTCCACATATAAGCCGCGCAATTTTACTTAAACATGAGACAGAAAGAATATAAGGACAGCTCACGTTTTCTTAATACAAACTTAAGACGTATATATATTTTGAAAAGACTTTGCAAAAATCCCACTGTATGAAAATATCACAATTTCTCCCCCCACCAAGGGATATACCGCTTCTAATTTCTCACTACTGTGAATAATGGACTATCACAAAATCATGCTTGTGAACGAACCTCATCACTCAGGATAAAGGCCAATAAGTGGGAACCATTTTCAGGTGCCTGCCATCCCCAGGGCCCTCCAGGGGTTAGGGAAACAGCCTTCACATCAGCAATGTGAGGGGCCTGTCCCACCTTCCTCCCAACAATCCTTTTTACCAGATTCACTAAGCTCGTCCACTTCTTTCATGAACTATCTATGTTACATCCCTCTGTCTGAATGCTCACCTGTTCCTTACTGACTCTATACTAAGGATACATATTTTATAATAGCATAGCCTATTTGCTTGTTTTATAGTGTTCTTCGATGTTAAGAAACCTACAATTTTTATACAGTTCATTCTTTATTACCATTACTTTTTTTTGGGGGGGGGTGTTTTTTTTTTAACCTTTATTTGCATTTATTTTTTGCAGCATTTATTCCCGGGCCATAAGTTTTTGTTTCTTCAGGTATATCTGTTTCTTCTGGGCAACCTCCTCTTCTGGTTTAGGAACAATCTATTCTTTTTCAGTAAGGATCATCTCAGTGTGGCAGGGAGAGCTCATGTATGGGTTGATCTGACCGTGAGCTCTGTAAGTCCTGCGCGGCATCTTGTGGGCTTTGTTCACCTGGATGTGCTCAGTGACCAGAGAATCTACATCTAAGCCCTTAAGTTCAGCATTACTCTGCATTTTTGAGCATGTGCAGTAAAAATTCAACACTCTTTTTGGGCCACCAACCCTGTGTCCAGCCCCACTGTTTGGCCTGGGCACACCTACCAACTCCATCACTGTAACGACGGAACGGCACACATGCTTCTTTAAAGTGACATCCTTCAGATACTTGGTGGTTTTTCGGATGTGCATATCCTTAATGGCCTGGGCAGTTTCACAAGTGTTCTTAAAGTGAACATGAAGATTTGAACCTCTTGACTTGCAAGATTTTGTGGGGTTTTCTGGGTCAAGTGAATAGCGAACCATGTTTAGAGGTCACCTCAGGCTGCTTACTGGAAAAGCTACCATTACGTTTAATGTTTAGAAAGTCCTCCAATACTCCTATTTAGGAATTTTTCATAAAACAAACAGCAGAGAGTAACATTTTTTGCTTCTACCTTTTGGTTTCCGTTTTTACACAGATTTCGAAATCTTTTTGCATATATTATTTGGTAGGATTAGGGCTCTTTGTTATTCTTTAAGGCTCTTTCCTATTCCATGCATTTATTCTTTTAGATAAACTACAATAATCTTCTCAAATTCTAAACTACTGATGTGGGGATTTAAAATAAAATGTTCTAATCTTTTGAACTCATTACTAGTGAGGCTGGCTCACGGTCCTCTTGTACGCTAGCCAGATCAGAGTTTTTGCTATGGGTTGGAATAGTTTTACAAAATGGGGCGGGGGGGGGGGCGGATTATATGCTTTTTCTAACTCTGGTTTAATTTACACTGTTCAAGAACTAGCTTTTCTTCTTGAAACATGGAAAGAATTTGCTGGCAAAAATAGCAACGGGCCAAAGCCCTTTTGGGAGGTAATCCTTTGCTCAGCTGTAAAAGTGTTCTTATAAATGCAAATCTCTTTCACACCCACCACCATTTCTAATTTTGTTAGTGCTTCCTGGTGCCCCCACCCTGTGGTCAGAGCTGCCAGATTGGTTTCTTTCTTTTCTAAGAACTAGGTTCGACTTCATTAAACAATGGAAATCACTGACTGCCGATTCATCTCCCACCTCGAATCCTTCTCATTCTCCGCATTTAAGCGATTAGCTTCCTGGGCCTTCTCAGCCATCCATCTGGTGACCAGCTCCTGGTTCTCCTCAGTAGTCTTCCTCAGTTTCTCCTCCAGGGCAGTGAAAGTGATCTGCAGGGCATCATATTCATCCTTCAGGGTCTGGTTGGCTCTTTCAAGGTCCTGAAGCTTAGTGCGTAGTTCCAGGCACTCGGTCTCGAGATCAGAGATGGTCTGCAAGCATTCTGCAATTCTGAAAACACGACGGGAGAGGGATACTGCACAAGACCTGTGTGAGTTTGGGCACCAACAATGACCTCAGCCATCACAGCAGGCACCTCACTTGGCCAAGCCCAGCCCCAGGGGTTTACAGGACAATCCCATTAATGGAGAGGAAACACCTAGGGCAAAATTCATCCAGACTATGAATGACTAGTTAAAGTATCTTTTAGAAAAGCAGGATGGGAAGGAAGAGGGAGCTTTTGATGCTGAAATAGTGTAGTAATGGGAGATTAAAAGGAGGCTGGGTATCTTGTGCATTCCATCAGTTCTATCACTCACTGAGTGTGAACGCCTGAGCAGGCTCCCCACCTTTCTAAGCCTCTAGAGAGCCCTCTCTGCGGAGTAAGGGAAAAGGCACAGATGAAACCCAGGCTCCCCTCCAGCTCAAAGATCCTAGGATTTGGAGTCCCTGTTTATCTTGACCGGTAGGCTTCTCCCAGATCAAGAACAACCCTGCCCACAAACTCATCCCTGTTCCCAATGGCCGGGCACGGGGCTATCTTGGTCCCATCCCCACCACAGAAGACACCCGCTTCCCCAGGCAATGGCCATGGGGAGAACTGTGAATGCCTCAGGGACACTTCCAAGAGCGAAGCTGACTTCTCAGGGGTGTGCTGGGGCCCTGGAGGACGGAGGGCACTCTTCTTGCCTTTTCCATCCTCAGAGGGTAGAAAAGGACCCCAGGCTATGTATGCACAGAAACGAAACTTGTGCTGAGCCCAGTGTGGCTACTGTTTGCCACCGATCACCACTGGCCCCGCTCACAAGAGTACAGTAAAACAGGCGGTGAGATCCCACGACCAGTCCCGAAGGAAGCGTGCTCTCTACTCACTTGGCTTCATTCATCTGCATCTCCTTGTCCTTCTGCTGCATTTGGTTATTCAGGTCAATCACCAACTGAGCTAACTGGGGGTAAAGAAGAACACTTTCATAAACAAGAGATTTTAGGACCTCAGTTGGAAACTCATAATTGCGGTTTACTTTAAAGAAAAAACAGGTGCCTGTGCGGTGGGGCCGAGGCACCAAGAAGAAACGAGCTGGGTGGCCGAGAGGAGAAGGGCCAGCGGGGCTGCACGGGGGCACAGTGTGCGCTTTCCCTGTTGAAGGCAGCCTTGGATAGACGAGCAACGCTCCAGGTGACCGCCAGGTTCCTGCTGAGAACGCCTGGCTACCCCTCCACCCCAGCTACCTTTTCCGACTCTTCAGCTGATAATCAATTCAGCTGAAGTAATGGTAAGTTGCACTTTTTCATAACTTGCCATTAGACCACCACCCAGTATAAACACAGCCCAGGACTTGATTCTTCCTAATGAATTTTTCTGAAATTGCAGGTTTCACGCTTTATGAAGGTATTAGTTAAGACTTTCAGTCAATCAAGGAGTAAGCTTCTTTCTTTTTATGTTTCTCCACTTGTACATTTCATGCCATCTTGGAGCATGACAACCTGGTTGTTATCTCAATGGCTTGCCCACCTGTTGACAGAGGTCTCACATCTTTTCTGTTGTTTCATTCCCACAGATAGAGCTGGTGATGCCGTATGTAGCCAGGATGACTGCAAATTCCAGTGGGAGTGCCTGCCCCACCCCCCGACCCCCAAGACAGACGAGGAGAGGAGCTATCTTTACCTCCCCACGTTTCTTGTGTAATTCAGTCAGTTCTTCTTGGTGTTTAATCCTCAGCTGGGCCATTTCTTGCAGCTGACTATCATTCCATGCACCATCATGTCCAGGACTAAATGCCCCAACCAGGCAGATGAAGAGAACGTGCAAACGAGAAAAAAAAAATCAGACCCCAGAGCCCTTCAATCAGGCACTGGAACAATAACTTTAGAATTTCAAACCTGTACATGACAATATAGCCAAGAAAGCAGTTCAGTTCTCCAGGCCAATAGAGTTATAAGTCACTACAAACCTAAAGTAGAAAGTAGGAGATATGAGACACAGGGTAAAACCAACCAGCCACAATCCATACCATCAGCTGCGTCAGGAATAAAGGATGGGTTCCGGAATAAAGTTCAGGTAAACGGGGAGGAGACAACGAGGTCCACTCACCCGACAAGTATCTGAGTGCCGGCTCTGTGCTAGGCCCTGTTTTGGTGCCTAGCGGGGAGAAGGCAAGGAACAGGAAGCTGCACAATCGGCTAAGAGTAGACAGACAACAAATGAGTAAATGGATGGAGTTCAGGTGGTCAGATATGCTGTGAAGAAAAACTAAGCAGTGTAAAGAAGGGGACAGAGCGACAGGGCTCCTGTTCCACGTGCGGTAATCAAAGGCATCCCGAGAGGTGACACTTGACTGAAGACTGGAAAGAGTGAGGAACAAGCCATGCGGACCCGGGGGCGGGGCCCTGTGAGTGGAGGGAACAGCAAGTGTTGGAAAGGCTGGGGGCAAGTGTGACCGCAGCGCCCAGGGCAGGGGGTGCAGGGAGGATCGGGGAGGCCACGCAGAGCCTCGCAGGCCCCCGAGGACTGTGGCTTTTCCTATGCATGACTGGAAGCCGCCGAGGGTTTTGAGCAGAGGAACGACTTACGTTTTGAAAGGATCGCTACAGTTGCTGGGTGGAGAGCACACTGCAGGGGTTAAGGGCAGAAACAGCGAGACCAGTTAGCAAGCTATTACATATTCCAGACTCAGAAAGTGCAGATCGGGACAAGGTGACGGCAGTGGAGGCGGTGAGACGTGGTCAGATCCTAGCTAGATCCACTCTGGAGAGACTGCAAGACTTGCCTTTGAATTGGTTGTGGGGAATGAGAGAAAGACAGGAGTCGAGGACAACTCCAAGGCTTTTGCCCTGAGTGGCTGATTAAAGGTAGGCGTCACCTACTGAGGCAGAAGGACTGGGGCAAGAGGTTGGGGGAGGCCTGAAGAGCGAGTTCACCGTGGACATCCAAGTGGGCATGTCAAGTGGAAATTGTTAAGAGTCTGAACTTCAAGTAAAGAGGTCCAAGCTGGAGGCTGACAATATAGAAGCTGTCAGCAAACAGATGTATCTAAAGCCATGGACGGAGCTCAGGCCATCTCGAGAGTCAATGGAATTTGGGAAAGTTTGCAGGTGTTTGCATACTATCTCAGAAATAACAGCAGGTGAACAGAACTGTGGATCTGTAATTCAGGAGAGGGGGTCTTGGCTGGAGCTACAGGTGTAAATTATCCGACTACAGTGAGTAGCTGAAACCACTCCCCAGGGAAAGCACACAGATGGAGAAAAGGAAGATGGCTGGCAAACTAGGATGCCACCATCTGAAGCGGGGGCACTATCTCTTCCCAATGACCGATAAGAAATAAAGAGGGAAAAGGCAGCAGAATGATGCTCCCTCCTAAATCTACCCTCCATCTCTAAAAGCATTTTTCTTTCATGTTCTAAGATACACTAATATTGCATTCTTTGAGGCAACACAGTGCTTCCCCAATCTTGGCCCATGAACTAGAAGCCAAGAGACTAGAAAGCGGCACATACCTTATAAGAAACCACCCTAAATTAGGCAGAAGAAGCAACAGGCCTGGGTGATTGAGTGCATATGGGGATTAGAAGGAAAAGAAATAATTTTTATCAAATCCCCTTATTTTAATGCAAAGCAATGTGAAATATGCGAAACATAAAACTAGTCTGTTCCTCCAAGGAGCTGGAGAGAATCCTGAGAAAAGGCAAGGATACAGGGCACTCATTCCTCTGCTCAAAGCCTTTTACCACTTCCAACTTTATTCACAATAAAAGTCAAACTTCTTACAAAAGCCCAATAACAGCGCTTCACTAGGCAGAAAAAAAAAGAATCACCTAGAGAGTAGGTTTTAACAGATTCTTGGGCCCCATCCCAGAACGATTCATCAGGTCGATGAAGAAAAGGGTCAATAATCTGCATTTCTAACATGCTCCCGGGTGTCTTGGATACTTCACAAGGACTGAGTAGCCACTAAAGCAGTGGTTCTTACATGTTAGAGGTCATCAGAATCACCTAAAGGTTCTTAAAACAAGACTACTGGGCGCCACCCCTAGAGTTTCTGAAACAGGAGCTCTGGAGTGAGGCCCAACATTCTGCATTTCTAACAAATCTCTGAGGCTGGCATACTTAGAAAACTGTTGGAATCAACTATTTCTCAGGGATGAGTTTCACTTTGATTTATTCAGTAAGCAAAGGGATTAAAACACTTAAGAGAGGAGTCAGATAATTGACGAGATGAAGCTTTTTAAGCACAGTGTGTTTTAAGATTAATTAGAATGCGATGGGCAGGACTTGAGAGCCCAGAAGAGAGAGAAAGCAGCCAATGAGATCCCCGTCTTCTGTGAATACCTGTATCCTACTAGCACACGCCTCACTGAGCTACTCTCCCCCACGAGGCTCAGGTCCTTGCGAACAAGGACTCTTGGCTTATTCATCTCTGTACCCCAATGCCTGGCCCACACTGTAGTCACAAAATGACTCAGTGAACGAGACCCCTGCCATAGTCTAGGAATGCAAGCAACGAAGCTGGTGGCACACAAATGCAAACCAAGGGACAGATGCACAGGACACTCGGGCAAAGAATCAACAGGTCTGGGTGACTGCAAAGGGGGAGGGGCAGGACACCAAGGGAAAAAGGAATCATAGCTGACTTGTGGAAAATAAGGATACCATTAATAGAAACAAGGCAGTCAGGAAGAGGCCTGACTGAACACAAGTTTGCAGGAAGGACGGACTTCCAGTTAAATTACCACCCCAGTGATACTCAGTTAAAAGAATGTTGTATATTTATTTATTGTACCTTTCCAAGCAAATGAGTTTCGCTGACAGATAAAGGATGCAGGAATATAGTCACCAAGAGGCTAACCAGATAGAAATAAAATGTTTCAATGCTTCAGTTGACTGAATTTAGATGAAAAAGGGCGAAATGGATTCTCTACGCCTAAAGTTGACCAGAACACAGCAACTAATATTTTAAATCCTGCAGAAGGCCTCCCAGGACCACAGCTAGGCACGATCTCCTGAATTGTTCTTAAGCAACAATGGAACCTAGGCCGGGCCATCTGTTCCTCTTTCTACTCCGGTCTGCCTGGAGACCACCTCGCCAGATGAGGAAACACGGATGGCAAGTAATTAGCAGATATGGCTATAGGAGTAAATGACAAGCTACACCCAGCATTTCTGTTTTTTTCCTAAAATCCTAAATTACCATCAGCTTTGTTTTTACAGTTGCTAAATGTTAGCTGATATGCAAAAAAGCTTGTAGATTTTAGAACAATAATGGGTACTGTTCCCATACAAACCACAAAATTTAATATGCAAACGTGATGAACAAATGGAAAAGAAGGACAGTAAGACTCTAGAATGATTCCATTTAAGCCACTCGCGTGAAGTATGGCTTTAAGGTTTTTTTGGACCATGACCCTCAAAAAGAGATAGTTTACACGAATGACCCAAGTAAAGATACTAAACTCCCCACCATGAACACATACTCACATATTTAGTGAAGCAATATTTAGCCTTCCTATAAAATGCAGATTTCTGCCTAATCTTTCTTAAAAAAAAAAAAAAGCTTTCTGCAACCCACTGGTTTGACTGCACACTAAGATACATGGAAACAACACTGAACTAAAAAGGATCACATAGACCTGTAGCGCTGATGTTTACAGGCCAGTCAATCTTGTACTGACAAGATCTATGTAAATCTGCTCAAGAATGCTTACTTGTCTGATTATTCAGAAAAAGTGAACCCTGGCAGGCTACAGGAGGAACTGGCCTGGTTACTCGTCTTAAGCAATTTCTCAAGCTCACATCGTACTGATGATGAGCCTTCTAGGTGGGTAGCTACGTACCTTCAAAAAAAACATAAGTAGTTAGTTATTTGGCTTCAGAAGTTTTTATTTGAAAGGAACTGACAAAAAGTGGAGCACAAACACAGTACTTGGTTTGCTTCAAAATCAGGGAAGTGACAACTGAACTGAGACAAATTTCAATTAAAAAGGAGACACAAATAATACAGGATAGTTTCAGAATACCTTATCTCAGGAGACACAAATAATACAGGATCGTTTCAGAATACCTTATCTCATGCCTGTTTGGTATGTCATGCTTTTCAGCTTGTAGCTTATGGGCCAGCACTGAATGAAGATCTGACTTTTCCAGCAACTTGTTATCTAGCAAAGAAAAAAAAAAAGTTATTACAACCCAGGTATGCTTTATTACTACTTAACATCTTATAAAGATTTGGACCAAAGAAATAACCAGAAGATGACTGGGCAGGTTTCACTTTTATGAGGTATCAAAGTACTAGGCACTGTACTTTACCACCGATTACAGCAATAGTCCAAACTCCAGGCACATGCGCTCCTTAGACGCTTCCTGGCCCAAGCACAGGCAGCCCAGACAAAGGAACCCATGAAAAATCACTCCAAAACGCCCCCGTGCCCGTGCTTTCTACTCCCACAGCTACCTGTTCCTACCTGGGAAAGAGGCAACAAACATACCAAAACACAATGGAAAAGTGAAGTGCTATGCATCTCTAAGTAAGAGAGGAAACCTTTACCTTATTATATTTGGAAGTTTTTTAGAAAGAAGATACTTTTTTTTTTTTTTGCGGTGCGCGGGCCTCTCACTGTTGTGGCCTCTCCCGCCGCGGAGCACAGGTTCCGGACGTGCAGGCCCAGCGGCCATGGCTCACGGGCCCAGCAGCTCCGCGGCATGGGGGATCTTCCCGGACTGGGGCACGAACCCACGTCCCCTGCATTGGCAGGCGGACTCCCAACCACTGCGCCACCAGGGAAGCCCTGGAATTTTTTTTAAAAAGATTTTTTTAATGTGGATCATTTTTTAAAAGTCTTTATTGAATCTGTTACAACATTGCTTCTGTTTTATGTTTTGGATTTTTGGCTGCGAGGCATGCGGGATCTCAGCTCCCTGACCAGGGATCAAACCCACACCCCCTGCAATGGAAGGCCAAGTCTTAACCACTGGACTGCCAGAGAGTCCCTGGAATATTTAATCTAAGATCAGGGCACTAGGGATACAAATACAAACCAGAGTCCCTGACCTCAAGGAGCTAAAAAAGTGTAATGGGGGTGGGGGTGGGGTGGAGGTCAAGTACAAAAAGGAAGAGTGAACTTTTACTCATTTTCCCAGATGGTTTCACAGGTGAAGACAACAGATAGTCCAAGCAGAAGGTCTAGAGAGCTGTTCAGTAAATGGCTAGAAATAAAAGTTTGCACCAACACATGAGAGGGCAGGATGAGAAATTCAGACCTCTTCTTACTGGCAATAGCGAGACAACAGATTTTAAAAGCAGGCAGTGACATGAACAGATATCAATTAGTAAGAAGTCAAAGATTATTCTGAGGTTCCCTGCTCGTCCAACTGGGTGCAAGATCCTAACATGCCAGAGAACACAGGAGCAGAGAGCTCAAGGAAGAAAATGAGTCCTTGGAACTTAATAAATGTGACAGGGAACACAGTGCAGAAATTCAAAAGAAAAGTCAGGGCAAGAAATGACATGCATGTAGGGGGCCAGTGAGATCAGAAGTGCATGTAGGGGGCCAGTGAGATCAGAAGTGGAAGGGGGTGCACAAAGCAGAACAAGAAAGTGACCACAGGAAACTTACAGAAAAGCCACACCTGACGGGGGCTTTCAGATCCCCAACGTCTGAGATTAGCGATGCTTCACAGCAAAAGCTGGAAGGGTTTATGCTAGTGACTATTCCTGTCAGAATAGCTTATCTTTCCTCTTAAAGAGTTGAGTCCTACTTCTTGATATCTAAAAATGGAAATCCTGGGCAGAAACAGAAACACTATCTTCATCAATATTAATTTAATAAATTAGCTCAAGATAACAGGGAAGTGATTCCAAACTTGAATGTTCACCAGTGTCAAAGCGCTCTAATAAGATCTTCAAAATGTTACAGCTAGGTGCCCTGTGATATCAAAGACATGAGGTATTCAAGAGGGATCCTTCTTAAAAGTTCCTCTCACTCAAAGGCCACCTGCTGTCCCCAGAGCCTCGTTTCATCTTTCTCTTCAGGCTCAGAGGCAGGACTGAACAGGAAACTCTGGTTGACTGCTTTGGGAGGCTAGGAATGAAGAGTGAGGCTGTTCCACCATCTAGAAGTGACCTCCCAAATGTCAGTCCCCTGCCTCAACTGCAGATTTTAACAGGCCAAGGTTGTCTTGCCCTCTTGCCCCCCCCCCCCGCCCCCCGCCCCCAGCCTCCTCTCCTAGCTCCCGGGCATGCATTACTCACTACAGCTGTTTTAAAGACATGTTCCCTCTCCAGGACTGACCTGTCTTTCTGACTTTCCTCCAACATCCTCCACCCCTTCAAGATGTCCATTTTCAAAGTGCAGAAAAACACTCAATTGTGTCAATGTGATTACAAGCACCTTCCATTTATAGACAGTTACGTAGATGGCTTTCAAAGCACTTATACGCACAGCACTGTGTTTATGAAGCAGGCAAGGCGAGCTTCACGCCTATTTTATAGATGCAGCAAACCAGACTCAGGTAAGTGAGGCTGGTAAGGGGAGTGTCGTCAGACCTCCAACCCAATTTGACCTTCAGTGTATTAGCTTTTAAAGAATAAGCATATGATGAAATACCCGATGACCTGAATTTATGTAACCCATGAGGAATCGTTTCAGCAAGGAGTTTCCTGTGCTTCTGGCTTTCTGAAAGAGCACTGGGCTGCCAGCCTCTTAAGAGTGTAAGGAATCAGCACAGGAGTGGCACATTCATCATCTCCCTCTTCTCCCCATTTTAGTTAAGAGGATGGGCTCAGCAAAGCAAGAAGGCCGTTTCTTGGGGGACCCAATGAGAAAGGCAAAAGTGCAAAAAAGTCAGGAGCCATCAAGTCTGTGTCCAAATCCAGGCCCTATCAATCTGCTGTACCTCCCCAGAGAGATGACCTTATCTCTCTCAGTCTCAATTTTCTCATTTGTATAAAGGGCAACAGGACCTGCTTCATAGAATTTTTGGAAAGATAAAGTGAAACGACACATGCCAAATATTTACGACAGCACTCAAGCTTGTCTCTACCTTAGAATTACTTGGGGATCACGAAGAAATACTGACACCTGTGTGCCACCTCTACTACTGGGGTTTCGTTGGTCTGGGATGTGGCCTGGGCTTTATAATTTTTAAAAGATCCCCACCCGATTCTAATGTGCAGGTAAGTTCAGGAACCATAAATTTAGCACAATCAGAATTCAATAAAGGGCACCCACTATTACTCTGAACTGCATCATCAACGTGATTTGAGATTTGCAGGCTTACTTCAAGGGGTAGACAGAACCAGAGGTCCGAAGAGTGTCCCGTTTCTTCCCCCAAATGTGTCGTCAGTTATGGTAAAATGGGGCGGAGGGGCAAGGAAAGGCTCTTTAGAAGACATCTAAGGGCACAAACATTTTTGTACTCAAATTGCAGCAGCGGGGGTGGGTGTGGGCCACCTCTTTCACACTGAAGTTTTCAACGACAGTAAAGACTGTGATGTCCCAACTAAAAAGTACGTTAAGACTCAAGATGTGTAATATGTAACAGTCAAAGCACACCAAAGTGGAGGAAGAACAGATCTTCAGGAATGAAAGGCAAACATTTCGCTACACTCTGAAGACGACGGTAACGGAGCGAGTTACTGCTTAAAGTCAGTGCCCGTGTCAGTAACAACACGATGCCCGAAACAGGATGTTTCTGGAACCGGCCTATTTAAGTAACACAAGCATTATGTGAGCTGCTGGGATTTACAAACACAGACATGAACGGTGCCTGCCCGTGAAGAATACCCAATTGAGGAGGAAAACCCAACACAGTCACACCCAAGAATAAAGTGAAAGAGGAAAAGATCTAAAAAGGCGTTTGGGGGTCCAAGGCGCTGGGTACCCGGGGCGGCCTCAAGGCGCGCGGGCGGCGCGGGGGGCTCGGCCTCGGGTTCCCTCTGGCGCCCCGCATGCCTCGGCTGGGCCCGCCCGCCCGCTCCCGGGACCCGCCAGCCGCTCACACTGCAGGATGATCTCTTCGAACGCCTGCCTCTGCAGCCGGTCCCGGCGCCTCAACTCCTCCGAGATGTGGCGCTTCCAGCGGGGGAAGACGGAGGCGCGGAGGCCCGACGACATGTCGCGCGCTGCCCCGGCGCCTTAGCGCCGCCAATCCGCACGGGGGCTGGCTGCCGCGGCCCGCACCATGAGGCAACCTGCGGGCGCGGGAGGACCAGCAGCCCCAGGTTTCAGGCCCACGAACAGGCCTCCCCCGATGCAATCCAGGACGGACTTCCGGCTCCTGACGGAAATGGCTTCGGACAGAGCCAGAAAGCCCGCCTCCTCATCCGACGTCTTACGCCACACGCACGCACATGTCCGGCGCCGACTCAGGGCGCTGGCTGATGATAGCATCCCGAGGCCGGAAGTGCCGGCCGCAGAGATGCGGCCGCTAGGAGGCGTGCGGGGCACGTTGGACGCTCGACCTTGCGGGGTCGGCGGCGGAGAAAGGAAAAGGCAAAAGGGAGGCTTCCGCCCACTTGCTGTTTCCTTTGCTTGCTTTTCCCCGTTTTATATTTTCTTTCTTAGCCTGCCTCCCTTTTCTTCATGTCAGTTTACAAGCAGAAGTAAACTCCTAACATGGTAGCTGTGTGACTATAGATGAGAGACAGCATTCCTAAGCCTCAGTTTCCTAATCTGTAAAATGGGGAAGATCCCTAAACCGGGAAGGAATGATACCTATCCCACAGGATTGTCGTGAGGATTAAAAGTAATAAACTATATAATGCAATTCACACTGCGCCTGTACATAGTAAGCCTAACCTTACCTAGACACTTGGTATCCGTCGAAGTCCTAACCAAAGATTGGTTGCTTTAAGCAAGAGCAACCCATTGACCTTCGAAAAAGGTTTTCTTTGCAATAAAGAAATGGAATGCAAAGAACCGCTAAAGAAAATGCGAATAGATTAGCTATGTAAATCATTAGAAGCCTAGAAATTATCTATGACCTAAAAGTAAATGGGTCCTTAGAAGGTCATTTAAGGGTTAGGATACAAACAGGATTTTGAAAGAGAAAAAGGACAGTTTGCCAGTAGATGAAAGCAGAAGATGAAAGACAGACTCGGGAGAAGATGACATCTATCAATTCAGTAGAATGGGAAATCTTCGTCTGTAGTAGAATCATCTGAGTTCCATCTGCATTTAACAAGTTAGTAAATTTATTGCATGAAAATGGAGCTGGACAAAATAGGAGGCAGAAGAGAGGAAAGGAATGTCAGAATCTGCCTTCTCTTTCAATGTGTCTCAAGTCCAGAGGAAGATCCTTCACAGACAGAGAAGAAGGCCTTTCCTCTCCTGTGGAACCCAGGAGTAGGACAGTTAGGATTCTAGACCTGTAAAGATATTTTGTCAGCAGCCAGTACTGAGTGATCTGAATTTGTGGGAAAGACCCATGGGGATCAGAAATAGAAGGGACTTCCTCACACACTGAAGCAAATGAAGAAGCAGGTTCTGAAAGTCACAAAGAATGCCTCTAAATGTAACAGTGGTACCAACCTCAAAAGAGCCTAGAATCAAATCTTGACAGTTGAATATGCTGATTTCCCAGACAAGATTATGATTAAACCATGTTAACAAATTTGCAGAACCAGCAATTCCCCTTACAGGAATGTATGTCAACAAATATTTGGACAAAGGCCCAGAGAAAACTGTCACAGCATTGTTAGAAATAATGGAGAGTTGGGAAATATCTATTGATTTCCACCAATGAGAATTAAATTACTGTATATTTATTGTTCAAAAAAGTTCATAATAAGAGGAGTATATGATATAAATCTAATTGATGTAAAATTAGTATGTCCCTGGATCTCATAGGCAAAGTTTGTTGAATGAGTAGAGAATATAATTTCTAAACTAAGGATACTAAGCTCTGTAGGTCTGCCCTCTCCCTACCCAGCCAGCTTTGCCCAGTGAGCACTGCAGCCTCTGTGGGCACTCCTCCTCTCTTCTGCTCACCACTCTCCCTCCCAGTGCAGGGCCTTTGGATTCACTGTGCTTCTGTTGGGCAAACCCTTCCCTTCTGACCTTTATGAGTTAACTCCTATGAGTTAATTCTCAGCTCAGTAGTCACTTCCTCACAACCTTCAAGTAACAGACCTTCACAACTAGGTCAGATTGCCCAATGACACGTGGACCTCTCCGTTCTAGCATTTATCACAGTTGCAGCTTCACATGTTTTTTATCATTACTTGCTTAAGGCGTGTCTCCCCGCCACAGACTGTAACCTCCACAGCAAGAGCTGTTTCTGTCTTTGTTCATCATTTTACCTCCAGCAAGGGCGTGAAGTCTTTCATATATTAGGTGCTCAGTAAATGTTGTTTAATTAATGAATGGAATATATGAAAATATTTTCTCTGGGAAGTAGCATTGCTGGTGTTCTTTTGTTGTATGTATTTTCTATATCTTATATGCATTTTCTAATTGTTATCCATTATATACATACTATATATGCAAGAAAAAGTTATAGAAACGAACATAGATTTATCGATAAAACCATTTCTTCAGCAGAGTGCTAGGTTCTGTGGGAGATAACTAATAAGCGGGAACACTTCTAACAACATTATGGGCCGCGCACTCTTCTGAATATTTCACGTGTTGTCACTCTCTTAATCCTCACAACAACCCTACTCAGTAAGGTTGTTATTAGCTACTCTTAGCATCTTTATCCTCATTTACAAATGAGGAATCTGAGGCCCGCAGGGGTAAGTCACTGGCCTGAGCACACCTGGCTATTTATTGGCCAGACCTGGCTTCAGACACAGGCAGTTTGACTCTAGCGTCTGTGACTTAACTACTGCACTCCATTGTGCAGTTTCTGTTTCTGCTGACATTGTAGTTTGGCTCAACAAGAATACGTAAAACAAAGAATAATTTGAAATGATTTGAAATCAATTCCTAAATTAGCCAATAGGGAGGGCATCCCATCGAAGAGCAAAGTCAGCAAAGTCGGTGGTTCGGAAGCCTCAGGTGTGTTCCCCGGACCCTGAGGGGACTGGCTGGAGGGAGGATGAGTAATGAGTAATAGGAAGGAGGAGGAAATGAGGTTGTCTGAATATTCCGGAGACAAATCGTGGATCTTAAAAGAAGCGTTTTTATTTGTTCTGGTAAATACTGAGTGTCTAAGGATGCAGCATGCTTTGCTGGATAGCGATATCTATGGAATGGATTCTGCCCGCTTGTAATGGATGTAAGATACATGTGAAGTGATGCTCCAGTTCTGAGGAACTCAAGTGCAACCTTCCAAGAATTGTCCTATTTACTTCTGCCCTTCCCCTTTTGGTTCCCCTGCTTTCCTTTATCTTTCAATCAGCAAGTGGTCAAACAGCTGGGTCCTGGTGTGGGTCAGGCACAGGGTGAGCACTGCCTGGAGACAAAGATGGCCAGACTTGGATCCTGGCCTCAAGGAGCTCACTCTTCAGGAAGGGAGATCTGAATGTGATTATGTATGAAAGTACGGAATTATAAAGTCAAGAAGACCCAGCCAGCACCCAGGGCTTTTGATTCTCTTCTGTTCTTTTTTTCTCTTGCTTTTATTCTTTTTTAAAAATATAATTTCCTGTTTTAAAAAAATATGGCTCGATCTTTATTTCCACTCCTTTTCAGCTGTTCTCAAAATTAGATCACTAAAAATGAAAGTAAGATAAGCTAACCATGTTCCTGTGTTAACTGCTGTAACCTAGTAAACCTAGTGACTGCTGGAGTAAATGAAAGGATAGCCAAGAATCCAACTGACGTGGATTTTCAGACACACCGATGATCCTTCCAAATGTCACATTTTTTGGCGCTGGACATTTTTACCCCTTGGCTTTTCTTTGTTTCCTTTAGTGTTATTGTGTTTGCAGACATATGAATACATACCACCTGACATTTCCGTTATAAAGACTCTGTGCACGCGGAGTAAAACCCATACAGGTCTCATCACCCACTCCGTATATGTTGACACTTAGACTTCACATTTTAAAAATGACTGTCTGACGTAGGTTTTATCCCTGTACCCCAATACAAGCATTATAGTAAACTTTAACTTTCTTAGAGAGAGTTCTTGTTATCCCTTTTATAAATTGACAGCCAAGTGTCTGGAATGGTGGCTGGAGGATTCAACATGGCACATCTAACAAGCTGGGACAATGGCTAGAGAGAGAGAGTGTCTCTGTGGGAAGTTATCTCCCTTGGTTTGCCTCTTTGCTCTTTAAAGAGATGATAAAATTTCTCCCAGACACTACTGCCCTCTCCTACTATGAATAATACCTAATGTTAAATGAGTGATTTTTGCATGCCAGATACTTTGCTCAACATGGATTAACTTATTTAATTCTCAAAACACTACCACGTAGGTACTATAAGTATGTCCTTTTGCAGATGAGGAAACTGACACGCAGAGGTCAGGTAGCTTGTCTGATGTCACAGAGTTAGTAAGAGGCAGAACTCGGATTCAGTTGAGGAAGGCTGGTGCCAGAACCCAGCCATATGACCATATGTCCCTCTGCTGTGGATCAGGGTATAAAGGTTCTGGCTGTTTTTTTGTTTTGTTTTTGTTTTTTAGGATGAGATAGAGTATCAGAATGCTTTTGACTGCAAGCAACAGAAGTGCAATTCGAGCTTCCTTAAGGGAAAGGGGAGGTTATATGGATATGGGGTGCTGCACCAGGCTGGCGGCAGGGATGTGGCTGGACTGGAACCCAGATGCAGATCCTGTCAGAATGCTCATCTCTTTGCCTCTGCCTCCCTCTGTAAATTGCCACGTCCTTTGTCTTGTGGTCCAGCTCTTTTTGTCCAGCTCCTCCAGCATCGCCACAGTACAAGCCAGTGGCAGACCAAGCTGGCATATCCAAGTCCCAGGTCTAATAAATTTCTGGGAGAGGGGACTTCCGTGGTGGCACAGTGGTTGGGAGTCTGCCTGTCAATGCAGGGGACACGGGTTCGCTCCCTGGTCCAGGAGGATCCTGCATGCCGTGGAGCAGTGAAGCCCGTGCGCCACAACTACTGAGGCCTGCGCGCCTGGAGCTCGTGCTCCGCAACGATAGAGGCCACTGCAGTGAGGCCCGTGCACCACCACAAGGATTGGCCCCCCCCCCGCTCGCAGCAACTAGAGAAACACTATGTGCAGCAATGAAGACCCAACGCAGCCAAAAATAAGTAAATAAAGTATAAATAAATTTTAAAAAACAATAAAAGCCCCCCAAACCCCAAATAACTTAAAAAAAAAGTTTCTGGGAGAGGAGGCTACTGGACTGGCAGGTGCCCGTATCTAATAATCTATGTGGCAAAGAGGCAGGGTCAGTCTCCTAGGGTGGTTCCCTCTGGATGGAGGGGAAGGGACAGGTCCCAGAAGAAGGTAGGTATAGA